TCAGGTCAACATATTATAAGAATCAGACAACTTTATCAAAACATATCGTATTATCGTTGACTGCACAGGTAAAAGTTGATTAGTCCGGACAAAATCTAAATAAAATATATACGAGCTGACACGACGAGCGTCTTTCGCAAGAAATGAGCCGATTATCGTACACTCTAACGGCCTCTTTTGGAGACGGCGCAAACTTTCAGTACCGAATCAGATGTCGACCATTAATATTATTTTGTTTTTTAAGCTGTACACCACCCGGTCGCTCACGGTTGTAGCATCGATGCTTGAAATCTTCGATTTTATAGAAACTCCGTGAGCCACACCCCCATGCCTCATACTGTTTGTACTGACTGTATGTGATATTATTATATAAGATATTATGTATAAGCTTGCTAAAACTTGTTTGTATTTGTTTTGGCCCAGCCATGCTAGAGGGGCTTCTGTTACATAGAAATTGATTTTTTAAGACTACTGCTATATTATAATACTTGCAGCACAACACATACCTATGTGCGTGTTTTAATAATAGTGTTAAATAAATGGTATCCAATAGTTTGTTTTTAAAAAAACATGTTCAACATACTGCAATTAAAGATGTTTATGTGTTATATTATAATATAATATTTTTTGAATACGTATGATAGGCTCAGAGGTATATTATAATATGAATTTGTCATTTGTGGCACTGCACATCATTATCATTATGTCTAATATAATCTGTCTTTATGCCAATATATGTTATTACAGTTCGTATTTAATCTCTAGTAGGTAATTAAGTTAATTTCAGTCTTTCTTTTCATTTTGTCCAAAAACATGTAGGTATATAATATAAAATAATTGATCATTATGTGATTTGCAGTGTGTTGTTGGATTACATCACTTCATTTATATACATTTAATTAAAATAAATCAAATACTGCGTTTGGTCCAATTTCCTCTTCATTTATATTGTTTGTGAAACCAGACAAGTGTTTATTAATTAGTTCAATTCATATGCACTCTCATTTGTATAATCAATTTTTTCTTGTTTTTCGAAAACTCTTTGTTAATTTTATTTTTTATGTCGATCGATATACACGAGTGACGAGTACCTACTATTAATTTATTCGGTTTTTATTCTTTTATGTAGAGCTATAAGCATTGGGCACATATGTGATTACCTACACAATTTTTCAAAGTAAATTAATGCGAAACAGCATTATTTTAAGTCGAGTATCGGGTATTTTTTTTAAACGTCACGCGTACTTTTAATTGAAAATTAAAATATGATTAATTACCTACTGTTCAAATCAATGTTCTTTAGTATTCTACTAAAGATTTAAATTGAACTCAAAAACTTGATTGATCACACAGAAAAACCAATGGACAATTAATAATTTTCAATTAATATAATGTAGGTATACCATAAGTACGTGGTTTATGTGATTTGTATTGAGTGTTATTCCGAAAACTCATAGGTACCTACATAATATAAACGACGTGTGTGTATAATTAATGTTAACAATTATTGATCATAGACTGACATTTATCATGCAATGCATAGGTAAACTTATCGTTGTGTGGCGATGATTTTATCATTTTTGCTATAATGATTTTCATTCCGTTGTTCTGGTGTTTTTTTTTCCTAATGACAAATACAAAACGTCCAACAAACGGTAGAATAGTTGTGATTAATAATTTATTGAAATTAACAGTGGCGTATTTAGGCCAGGCCTCCAAGCTATGTCCAAGTTGGGGGGACGCTTAGGGAAGGTTGATGGCCTATCATCCATTATGTATTATTTATAAATTTGGTTGACCCTACAGAACAGGATCATTATTCTCGTAAATTGTATGTTTATGGACAAAATTACATTGGCACTGCATGGGTGCCTTAAAGAGGACCTCTGTCTCTTATGGCCCTATAGGCTATAGGGCCAAAAAGTTTCTCGCTGCTCCACTGGAAATGAATCATTAATCGTTATTCATTATGTACTCGTACTCAAAAAGCAATCGAAAATCAAAAATTGTGCAAGAATTTATAGGCTATATGTATAATGCCAAACATAGAAAATATGAATACAGCTAGGTAATATGGGTAGGCACAGAAAGATTATTTATATGTATATTTAACGAATGTAGGTACAAAAATATTTGAGATTTTGAGATAAATGAACAATTTATTAGGCTGCAGGTACTTATATGCAGGTGGTTTTTTTATCGGAGTACCTATTAACATTGTTTATGGTCCTATCTATATTTATTTAAAAGGTGGAGACTCATTTGCGCACATATTAATAATTTTTTTAAATTTTAGGACAACTCATTTGCGCACAAAATAGTAAACAATGAAAACCAGCTTTTAGGTACAGTTTTGGGTGTACAGGGTGTCTTAAGCTGTCCAACACGTTACACGTTCAATATTATTGATATCAATGATCACCCGTAATTGGAGTATCTTCAATATGGCCTTATATAGTCTTAAAGCATAACGTGATTTCACATCAGTTATTATCTATCAAAAATGGCATTAATACTCGCCAAGTACACTAGTCGTGTGGGACAAGCGTGTTGGTTCAGGCGTTTGAAAAAAAAAAATAAAACATTACTAAAAGAATACTCAAAAAATGATTCGGAAATCGGAAGGTGGCTTAAATATTTTTTTGGTTTACCTTATCTAAACTCTGATGAAGTTCCGGACGCATTTACGGAGCTAATCTCAATAGCTCCTAGTAATATAAGTATGGATTTTCCGGACTATATTTTAAAAAATTATATTGATTTTGATGCTGATTTTGGGCCAGAATTATGGGCTAGTGCACCAGACGATAGCCCTAGAACAACAAACGGAGCTGAAAACTTTCATATGCACTTTAATAGCCAATTTTATACCCCCCACCCTCATATTCACCAAATCATACAAATACTCATGGAAATTCAAGTCGACACCAATTTAAAAATAAACTTATTAAAAAAAAATAAGAAAAACACACGTAGGACAGAAATATTAACAAAACAAAATTTTTTGAAAAAAATATATTCAGATTACAAATCTAAAAAAATTGATTTATAACCTATTTGATGCAAACGCGTACCAATAAATATTAAATATTATGTATTAACTGTAATTTATGTAGATTGTAAATTTTAATGACTTTTGTAAAAATTAATAATGATTGTACCTAATTTATTGTAATTTGTAAATTTTAATGACTTGTAAAAATAATTGTACCTAATTTATTGTAATTTGACAACATTTTGAATAATGTGTAATAGCTAAAACAACATTTTTAAGCCCGCCAGTCTATAACATCAGAATATGATGAGACAGAAAGTTCTAAGCCTTTTAAAGGGTGAAGGAAAATGTTGTTTGAGTTTAATAATTGTCTACTATCAGTATTGACCAAATCGAAAATATGGTGGTACGGAGATTATGTACACCCTATACGTGGATAAAATTCTTGGAAAAAAGGTTTCTATTGTTCGTAAAATGTGCGCAAATGAGTTGTAGCCGATTTAAAATCCAGTCATGGTGTCACTATTTAATTAGAGTTAATTGGAAATCAAAATGAGGGGTCATCCAAATGTTTGTAAAGTAACTCTGCATGTATAAATGCTATACAATTAACAGATTAATTAGTTTTAAGGCACACGTTACAATAAGAGTAGGTACATACATTTAAAAATATAAATAAATAGTAAATAGTAAAATTATACAATATATTTAAATTGAAATAATAAACAATTATGAGTGTTATTATTTTGCTGTTATCTTATAGAAATAAAATGTAGCTAATCAAAATGATTCTAATTTCTAATGAAATCCGTTGGCTTGTGCAAAATGACTAAGTTGTATAAGAGTTTCACTGAACGTTTTATAATAATGATATATTTTTCACAGCTATCAGAAATTCAAAACGACAATAATCAAAAAATAAATAAAACGATGTAAGAACACGTAACACTTAAGTATATAAATAGTACTTACTTGTAATTATCATATTATACACATACTTACAATGTGAAAGTAATAAGTATGGTTATCAAATGATAACCCACATCAAATTTGGGTAAGTATTGACATAAAATAGGAACAGTCAGACACTCAGATTGTATAGAAATGATAAAATATGTTTCTTTGCATCAGTCACAACTCTTTGTATGGATACTATAACAAGTATAAGTGAAAATATGTACCCTACATCCGGACTTTTAATAGGTACCTACGCTTTATCGAACTTAACGTGCGATTTTCAATCAATAAACGTGTCTTAATATACCTAATATAGGTAATTACACGATTATAAAATATAATTTTATCGAACTAAAATTGTGAGGAAAAAAATGTGCAGACAACCGTCAAGGTGTTTCCGTGACATAGTGTGATGGTCATTAAGTGGTAAGGTGAACACTAGACTGCACGGCCGTCATGCTGTAGCATACCTAAGTAGGTATATGTCCACCACCAGTGCATATTGAATAATGGTTCACATAGGTAATGTTAATCATTCGTGTGAAATGATATTCGGTACAATACTGGTTATGACAACTAGGTATTTAATTTGAATATTTTGGAAAAAATTTAATCTATATAATATAATATGTATATTATACTATTTTATACTTATGATTCAATAGTAATTTTATGCTTTATATATTTATTGAAAAAACCATAGTTTTATAAATGTAAAATTAATTATTGTAAATATCTGCTGCTGGTAAAATCTGATTTTAAATGGTTTATACTATAACGTTTAACTAATGCAAACAAATAAACACCAAATTATTGAATCGTTAAATATATTTATATTGTTTCATTAATATCATTAACGGACGACAATTTTTACATACTTAAAAATTACTAGTTGATTCTATATATAATAATAAATATGTATGTACAATAAATACAACACTACGATTACCTATGTTATTACTTATTGAGATAGGTACACCAACTATTATTTTTAAAAAAATATAAATTTTTCTATACAAAAACAATATGATGTGTATTAAAATTATATTTAATCTATAAAAATTTGATTTAATGGTACCCTGTTAAAGAATTCTTGTGCGATTGAAATAAAAGCAGAACTCAAAGCTCTTTCAAAGGCTGGCTGCATCTCTTTTAACAGTTCCATCCAATTCTCATTTAAAAATAAGTTCATGTTGTCACCTACATCATAAAAATTTGCATTAATAAAATACATAAAATGTATTGAACAGATATGATAAAGAATGGATTTTGGTATTCAAAACTACTTGACAAACTACCAAAGATTTTAGGTTTAAAAAGTTTTTTAAATTGTTTTAAAGTTCATATATGATAAGCTAATACCTACAAATAATTTAATTTAATTGCATATTGTATATTTGTCTTTCGTCGTGCGGACGAGGGTTTGAAGTGTTTAGCATTATTTGTTGGTTCAATCAAAAATTCCATAGATGTCTATTAGGTCCTTTGTCCTTACATAATTATTTAATTTACAATCATATTAGGTATTTGAGAACTAATTAGTTCTATTTCCACTCGTGGTATATTTACTTTATAAAGTAATCAACATATTTATTAATAGGCATTTAAATATCTAAATTTCAACAATTTCACTGTTGTACGGAAATATAAAAGGTATACTTTTTTTTAATCATTAAATATTGCATTAATCTTTATAAAATTCTGAGGAAAACAGATATAGGTATCTCATTTAAATACTAAATGTATAAGCTAATCTATTGGACATAATTGGTACTAATTTATAACTACACAGAATCTTTTGTTCGGAGGGAGGTACGTGTTAAATTAGTTTAATTTAATGGTATAAAATTATATTGGAGTCAAAATGAATGGGAAATATTAAAAATATCAACTATATTTAATAATATATTAATATAGGAAATATAATATTATGATAACATAGATTATTAACTATAAACTATAATTATACTCACCTAGAATTTTGTCTCCATTAAATAAGTTATTCATTTTTAAATGCATTTTTGAAGTAGTAAACTTCCAATCTAAACTTTTAATTTCTAAATGTGTATTACCATTTCTAAGTACTGGCTTCATTTTAATAACACTAAAAGATTTGTAATTGTCTAAAAATAAAAACATCGTGTTATTAGTCATATTTTACTTGTGGAATTTATGAAACCATAGTACACCAAATTGTTCAACAATTTTAAATTACCTAAAGCAAATCTACATGTTCCATTGCCATTAATGGGCAAAATTATTACTCTACCATTTGTTTCATATTGACCTTCCAGCACAATTGGTTTTTGGACTACTAGAGCGACATTCAAAGTATAGTTCTTTGGATCATATCTGTAATAATTTATCAATATTTTATTTGTCAAAACATTTCCTAACGACATTATTTACGTCAAGTCCTTGATTATCGTTGATTTCATGTTTAAAATATCTAAATCCCTAAACTTCAGATTCACAGCCCCTATACCCTGATCTATTCCTAATGAATTGATTCGCAATGGATCCGTTGGGAGTAATCCAAGACTCGGAACACCTTAAAAAATATATAATTTTATTTGATAAAAAAATACAAAATATTAGTTAAATTGTTTCATATTGTTTTTACCTTTTGCCAAATATGGAGTGGCCCGTTGAAGCCCATCTCTGATACATTCGTTTAAATCTGGATCACTTAATTTGCATTGTATAAAACCTTTTGCTAAAAACAAAATGAACAAAAGTTAAGTAACAATAATATTATAATAGCAAACATTAAATTACGAAAACAATAAATACTAGGTTTAGATAAATATAGTATGATTATTATTTAAGCAAAGTCCATACGATTATCTCAAAGTTATTGTGTTAGTGTAAAAAATAACTATAATAAAGATGTAAAATACTAAAATTATTTATTTATGAACTTAAAATATTGTGCATAGTGTTATATTATTATTTATTATAAACTTCATAGTATAAAGTAAGATATGATAAACTATAGTTCTAGTTTTAATGCAAGTATTATTTTTATTGTTAACAAATAAAATAGTTTATTTCAATTAGGTATAGTAATAATTGAACAAGTACCTATGCTTTCGATAGTTTTGTGTTATTCTATTTAATATTTAAGTAAAGTTGTTGTTGAAGACTGTAGTGGCATACCACTAATAGTAGACATAACTAGTGACCATGTAAGTTATTTGATGTTTTTTAATAAATTAAATACATTTATATAAACATGATATATATTGTATATGGATGATTATAAACTGTCTAATAAAAACATATTAGTATATTATTCAGAATAATGTTATAACGTGAAGGCCGCTCTAAGAGTTATAGTTACTGGTTCCATAATAATAAACAAATTAATATAGGTACATATATATATATTTATTTATTGACATGTACATTGTAAAATTACTGATAGAACCGGTCCAGAGACATCACTCTAATAGTAATAAATGGTCTTCCGGTAGACAGTGTCACAGCCAGATTACTCGTGAGTCGTTGGTACTTATGTTATGACATCAAGGACCAAAAAAAACTTTTAACTTCCTTATGTATTAAGTCATAATATAAGTAAAAGTACATATTTTTAAATATTGTTGAGTTAAAATGTTCTAGTGTTTTATGTGTCACATTATTTCATTTTTCTGATTAACACAAAACTATAATAACTGAGAATAACTTGAATTTAAATCAAATTCTAACATTTAACGAACAAATTATAAAACAATCTTTATACCAAACTGTTAAATAATCCAAAAATTACGTAACCCCCTTTTTGTAGGTATATTAAAAAGTTAAATTCTAATCAAAGTATGAATTAATACTATTAAACAATTTTTTCTTTCATTCTATTGAATATTGTGAAATTAAAATACCTACGGTCTTTAGGCGTATTTTAAAATTCCAAAAAATCGGAATTTGAATAAATGTATTATTAAATTAAAAATTATGTAAGCCGGGCTGTATGGAATTCCCCATAAATGAGTATGACACTGCCAAATTGTTAATTTAGTATTTTAGTATATAATTTTTCAACTAGTTATAAGCTTTTAATTTTTTCCAATGTTTTCTAAAACTAACTTTATATAGATAGACATGCCTATTAACATATAAAAATAATTAAATATTTAACAATATTTCTTAGGGATTATAATGTATTTGTTCATTTTCTGAATTAATAGTATACAAAAAGTTAATAACATTAATGTCTTATAATGTTAATAACAACATTGTCTGGCATCTTAAAATCATGACAGTAATTATCCTTAAACTGCAAAAAGTTTAAAAATGTGTAAGATTGTACTTTAAAACGAAATTATTTCAACATTTAATAACATATCTGAGTTATAAAATAATAAATACCTATTCAATGAGACTCTCATCAATTATACGTTAGAAATTGAAAATTCAAACTTGATACTTCTTAAAACGACGTGATTATTTATCACGTACGAAGAATAGAGTTTTAAAATTATATAACAGTAATCACGTTTTTAGACAGTCTTAAAATCAAACAATTAAGCACCGAAGATTACTGAAACCCTATACTGTATATTATGTTACAATTATTTAGGTATTGTACATTTTTCACTTACGCAGTTTTGTTGAAGGTGCAGCGTGGCTGGTTTCAACGAAAATGTACACAAGACAACAAACAAACTTTACTATAAAAGCATTCATATTGTATGATTGTGATCTCCAAGATTGCAAGATTGACTTAGTGAAACTGAATCCTGTTGCTCTTTAGGAATCCGCTTATATATACTTATGTCGTTTCAACGGAAAGACATTAGGTAGACGATTAAAGAAAAACGTGATAATTCCGTTCACCTCTATAACCCCAACGGCGGATATAGCCTTCAATCCCTACTGTAATTCTGTTTACTGAATATGAATGCTACAAAAATATTAGTCAAAAAACTAGTCTGACAAGATGTAAGAATACTTTTAGCATGATGATAAATAATAATAATATGATACATGTCATTAATTATTTCAAACGCACCTAATATCTGCGAGGTTTATGGCACCTCAAATCTCTATAGAATGCAGTATTATCTTTTTTTTTTAATCATTCAAAGTTCTATTTTTTGTTCATAAAACTCCACAAACCAATAATATATTATACGAGTATTCTGTTATTTTATGAATGTATGTAGGCTATTTGAAATAGATATTTTTTAAAAGAATAGGTACATTTAAACATAATATTACAATAATATAAATTAAAATTTGTACATAATATAAATTAATAAACATTTTTAGCATTTTTTACTATCAAAAACAAAACAAATAAGTAATAATAGTAGTAATCCATCAAAAATTGGTATTTAATAATTATTTATATTTTGATTATTCTACTGTTCATTCTAGAAACAAACGTTTTACTGAACAAAGTTTATTTTTATTTTTAACTAGCTTATGTAAGTAAACTGTTTTGTTTTTTAAGTAACACCCAGCTTTGCATTCTTTGAAAAAGCTCAAAATCTGCTCATTCTTCAGTCGATGTTGTCAAAATTTAATAATATCCAAACTCACTAAAACAATAAGCTTAGAAAATTAACTAATGGCTTTCCATACATGTAACAAATTATTTATATTTCAAATGAAAAACTATCTGTCTAATTTTCCAGAAAAATCCATTAGTTACAAACCTATAAGTCCTTAAAAAATCCCTGGAATTCCCACTAAAAATCGTAAATGGTAACGTGATAAAAATTTTTAATTACACAAATTAAATAAAAAGAAAAATATAATCTGAAATGTTCATATAGACTAGTTGAGACTGCTTTCAATAGTTGTATCCAATGACCTATAATCATAGTTTATTTTTCTATTATTTATATTTCTTTATAATGAACTAGCGCAATGGTTATTACTTATTAGTAGAATTGTTTGTTTCTATAGATGTATAGACACAATAACTAATGGTTTTTCGGCCAAATTATTTTTGATTGCAATAATTTTTGTAAAAAATATTTAAATTTCAAGACTAGTTAAATCAGTTACAATTATTCTAAAAAATTAATTAGTTTTTTTGCATTTTTATTATAAATTAATTGTTTGTATAAATTGCATATATTGTATAAATTACTATCTAAAATAATGGACAAATTTGCATAAAATAAATCTCCAAGCAATAACATATTTTTTATATAACTTTATTGTAAATAATTAAATATAAATTAATACCTCCAGTGGTAACATTTGATATAAATACATAATATCTCAAAATGTATACATTTTAATGTTTATCAATCAATATCTCGTTGTATATTGATGATAAACTGTACAATAAATATGAACTATATTTACCGAAATAATATTTATAAACACACACGTGTTCCTCCACCTACCGATATAACAACACACAAATAAACCACTACATGCAAACACCTAATGGCCATAGTTGCCGAAGCTTAAGATCAATTTAAAAAAAAAAAATATATTTATAAAACGTACTACACTCATCATTAATTGTATACAGTCAAACATATTTACCTTAAAAAATGATAAAAAAAAAAACATAATAACAATATCTAAATTTATTCTAGGATTATTTGATTTTCCGGAACACGGGATAAAAAGCTTTGAGCAATTTGTCCAAAGGCCTGGCCAAAAACCTCTTCGATAGCCGGTTGCAGTTCTTTTAAAAGTTCACGCCAATTCTCGTTTAGGAACACGTTCATGTTATCTCCTGCAATAAATAAAGAAATATAATTAAATACTTAATTTTAATTAGACGATAATATTATCGATTATTAAATTCGAATGCATGATAAAACAAGGTTCATAATATGAATATAATTTATTAACCACTGAATTAATATCCCTTTGACATAGATATTACAAAATGAGATTATTTTTTTTTTAAATGCATAGTGAAAAATGATAATTTATTTACAAACAAAAATACAAACATCTAGACAGCATTTCAGGATTTATTATGATCCACGATAGCAACGCGTAAGAGAAAAAAAAATTTCGGGTGTCCGACATTTTTTTAATATAAATGCTGGACACTAATCATTTGTACGTTCAAACTTTAAAAACTCTTTATTCTTATGACTACTACTTTAATGAAATTTTAAAATTATTATCAAAACAATAGTCAAGTCAATAAGCAACTACAATTTTTCTACTTTTAAAACATTTCGGGGAGGGGGGACTAATGGACCCCTTGATTATTTTGTAAATTGGTAAGTATCATACAAAAAATAATAATTAATATACTATACGATGATTGCTAATAATAGTCGTAGCACCCGCTCATAAAATAATCCTAGATCAACCCTATAGATTTTTTTAAAAACACATGTAAATAGCTATAAATAGCTCAAAAAATTCAAAAATAAAATCATGCATTGAAAATGATAATATACACATTTGGTAAAAATTTCAAGAGATAGCTAAGTAAATATCTACGTACCCATACGGATATTCGTTTTTGAATTACAAAAATATAATAAAATCATTTGAGAAATCGTTATTTTACGGGTAAATATTTCATTACAATTTTAAATTAAATTCAGACGTTCATAAAAAATCTTTGTGGAATGACTCTAGATCTTTTATTCCGGTAATAACAACATATTAGGACCATTGAATTCAATTTTTGAATCTTAAGTTTGAATATTGAACATTTTATAAATGTTTTTTAATTTCGATTATAAAAAGGTGGGCAAGTGGGTGTCGCTCTGCTGTATAGCAGGTTACATGTGGTTCACTGTAATGGATGGTTTTAAATTTGAATTCAATTATATTATAATATTAGTGTACATCAGCATAAATGCATAATGATATATAACTTAGTAAATTTAACCTAACCTATTGTGAATAAAGTAATTTATTTACTTATTTACGTGGAACTTTGTTTTAAATTAGCTATAAAAGTTGAAAAATGTCTAAATTTTCAAGCTACTATTGTAACGAAATATCAGGAACCTTGTATTAACTTTTCAAATCTCAGATATAAAAGGAAAAATTTTTATAAATTCTTACTCAAAATAATTTGCTAATTTTCGTGATGTTCGTGATTTTTCCGTATTTTGTCAAGATTTGAACTTTAAATGCTTATAAAAAAAAATGACAATATATTTTAATATTTTTCAACTCTCATTGAAACTAACCATTATAACAATATATTAGAAGCCTTGTATTGGCTGTATTAAATTTTCAAGCTTTTTGACCTAACGAATAAAATTTAATTGACATTTATGTAAAAAAAAACGAAGAAAATTGAAAACAGAAATTGTCTGTAAACCGCTCAAAAAAGAACAAATATTTTAAAAATTTTATCGTGAATACAAAAATTATTTTCATGTATTAATAGTTATTTGTTTTAGAGTTACACCAAAAACCTAAATTGAATTTGTGGAAAACCAATTTTGCATAAAAATTACCGTTTTTCCCTGCGCTTTTGAAAACAATTGAAAATTTTTAATTTTGACCTTTCGAATGCAACAACTTTATTTACTTTTCCATCGAACAAGATATTTTTGAAGAAAATCCAAGCAGGTATACTGCCATAAATGGTGAAAAAAAAACACAATTCATACTAAGATCAATACATTCATCACTCCGCTCAGAATCTAAAAAATATTTCGATAATTGTTATACCAATTATCAACATCTAATGTGAGCATTTAAAGATCGAATTTTGACAAAATTTATCAAATTTAAAATTGAATAATTATTTTGTAGTTAAAAATGTATAAAATGTTCAACTTATATACCTAAAGATTGAACATTTAAAACAAGGTTCCACGTAAATAGGTTATATATAAATTACTTTATTCACAATAATATCATCAAATATACTTTGTAATATCGTGGGCTGACTGACCGTTTTCTCTCAGAATCGTTTTTCTTATACAATATGATATTATACCTATCATTGAATTCAAATTTAACACCATCCATTACAGTACCTACTGTACAGCAGAGCGACTTTTTTTGTTTGTTTTTCTCGACACTATTGATAAGTACTGTGTATTTTTTACTTTTTACTCCCCCCCCCCCACCCCCAAAGTACAAGCTAGATTCACTTTCCTACCAGAAAAGATCCTGAAGTATAAAATTGAGTCATGTTTTCTAATTAATATCATGCACCTAATACTGTTTAGTGTTTGAAATTCAAGCTTTGTATTATTAAAAATTGTATTTTTCACTTAAAATAAACCATGACAATATGCAGACCTTACAATAATTATGCTTAATGCAACTCATAAATTGAATTACCTAAAGCTTTATCTCCATTAAACAAATTGTCTAATTTAATTTTCATATTCGTAGGTGTGAATTTCCATGCTATCTTTACAATTTCTAAATATTTGTTTCCGTTCTTTACGACTGGTTTCATTTGAACAGTGCCAACAAATTTTGAGACATCTATAAAAAAATGCATTCATAAAAATTCAAAATATAATATGATCAATTGTTGATTTTGATTATAATATTACCTATGACAATTTTACATCTTCCCTTTCCTACAATTGGAAGAATTAATACTTTTCCATTTGTTTCATAATCTCCATCCAACATTATAGATTTTTGGGGATGTACTTCAGCATCCAAACTATAAGTTTCTGCATTATAACTGTAATGTATAGGTATAAATACAATACATTTTAAAAACACATTTTTGTAATAAATATGTGTACTTACTGAATTTTGTCAATAATAACTGATTTAAGGTTACTGATATCCAAATCTTTAAAATCCAGTTTAAGACTAACTGGTCCCTTGCCTTGGTCGATTAACAATGTAGAGATTCGCAGCGGATCCATTTTGTTGATCCCCATACTTGGAACGCCTTAAGAAGTCATAATATTATAGTTATAACTTATAATTAATATAAGTAGATGTAATGTAGAACTGTCAGATAGTAACAAAGTATGGATACAGGTATGTATTTAGAGGTGGACAGGTGTACCCTGTTGTCTGGGATGGATATTTTTATAGTCTATTTAGGGGGCAGGAATACGATTGAGAACGGTCATTATTGGCGATACCTTTCTTAGACCCTTTTGACTATTACGATTGAGAACGCTCAGTTTTTATTTTTCCGCCCAACGTTGCCAAACTTTGCCATATAATAATCGGCTATGGCTATAGCCTATATAAATATATATGACTCTTAGCACTGCTCACACACTATGTAGCAGGAATAAACGTCTTTAAAACTCAATACTATTCAACAGGGTACTGTTCAAAACGCATCAAAAGCAGATGAAGAAAAAATTTCAAAAACAATACAGTCTTATATTAACTACTGTCAAAAAAATCTTCTGAAGGATTAGTAAAATATTTAACACATATGGGAAATTTATATAGGGAAATTAAATTGTAAATTATTTTTAAATGTTTGTATTATTGGTACCTACCAATAATACAAATTTTTTTAAAAATTATGACATTTTTAAAATTTATAATTTTTAATTATTTTATTCAATGTTTTATTTCATTTTTATTTTGACTTGAATATAGTTCGGCAACGTTGCACTTAATTTCGTTCTCAATAGTACTGTTTTATTGGGTCAGCGGTTATTTCATTGTTCCATTTCGAGTGATCTCAATCGTACGCTAAAAAAGGTCGAACGTTCTCAATCGTATTACAGCCATTTAGGGCGTAGTAAATGTTTAATGACTTATTATTATTATGCGTTAATTGTACAAAAATCAATATACATTATACTAGCTGATCCCATACACTTCGTTGCCCGTTAAATGTACCAAATCTATATGACTCAAACTTTGTTCAATTCGTTATATTTATTTCTATTTAATATTCGGTGTATGGTGTTCAAAACTCATCTTAACTTTTCCGTTCCCGGAATAAAAATTCTAATTCACAGCAATATATATTATCAGGTTAGGTAGATCACCGACCCCGTGCTGTTTTTATGTAAGTGCAGGGCGACATTTGGTGTACCACATGGTACACATTGGCAGCCCTAATTGTCGAAGTATCATATTGGCTTACCTTAATTTCATGCTGGCGCCGATGCCCGATGTTAAATTGAATTAGGTAATTGAAATAATTAGTATAAGATAAAAATATATACATATAGATATACTTGGATATTCAAGAGATAGAAAGAAAATGTATATTCTTGAAATAATGAATAATGATATTATACTTTTATCAGTGTTATCACTTAAAATATTGATTATTTTTCATCCCTAATAGTAAGGTTAGAAATAACTCCAACATGGCTACATTTAATTTTCATTGTTATAACTGGGGCCTGGTGGTAGAAAAATGTGGTCTGGTAAAAAATTTGGCAGCCCTACTTTAAAACTGAAATGGCGCCCCTGTGTGAGTGTATGATTTAAATCTAGAGTATCAAAGTTATACCAAGTTTGTGAGTTTGTCCACTAAATAATAACCCAAATATACTAAAATCTGATGAATAAAAAACAAATTTAACCATTTTTAAATTAGCCTGTCTTCTTCTCAGAGGTCTAATCTACACACAAAAATTTATTTTTATATTTAAATTTATTGACAAAAAATAATAATACAAATCAACAAACATGCCCGATTACTGATTAGCCAATAGCAACCAATATACTATAATACGCTATTATTATTATTTTAATCTGCAACAATAAACTAAATTTTTTATTATTTAGTTTATTTTTTCCTTTACAGATGGAGCCACTATTGTATTTTTGAAATCTGGTTTTCCTACTTTTCTGGTGGATTTAGACAAATGCTATGGCGATAGAAACATTCTTCATGATAAACTCTTTCGTTTAAAAAAAAATCAAGAAGATCTGATAAGTAATTCCAGAGTTTACCCTGTACAAAGATTTTCATTTCACATTTATATACCATTTAGGCATTTATACTCATAATTTGGAAAAGTTTTAACTTTTTTTTACATAATTTGATATAATTTCAAAACAACATTTCTGAAAATATTAATATTTTTTACTATTTTATATTGTTATTATTTTGTACCACTTTACTCCAGTGGTTTTCAACCTTTTTGCATTCGTGGACCACCTAACTGGCTTTTAAGTAGGACTACGGACCACTTTGGGTTTCCACTATACTGGATATAT